GTTAGCTCTTATAGTAAGCTGACTCCCCAGTGGCTTCCCTGATGCCACCGTTTCCACTGCACACACCTGCTAGAGAAAGGCTGGGTGTGAGCATAGTGACACAGTACCTGACGGTGGAGAAGCCTCACATTGGACTGGTACTTGGTGACATACTGTACTTATTTCCTCTGGCACAGATAACACAACAGAATGGGCAGTCTGGAGACTGGAGTGCAGTCAAAGTTAGCATTGCTGTCTTTTTTTTTTTAAGATTTTTTTATTTATTATGTATATAACATTCCTTCCATGTATGCTTACATGCCAGAAGAGGGCACCAGATCTCATTACAGATGGTTGTGAGCCACCATGTGGTTGCTGGGAATTGAACTCAGGACCTCTGGAAGAGCAGTCAGTGCTCTTAACCTGAGCCATCTCTCCAGCCCCAGCATTGCTGTCTTTCAATTGTTACTTTGCATTTTCATATCTGGGATATGTTAACCTATAGCTTACCACCTAGACTCAAAATCCCAGCTAAGCAGCTTGCTCCACTTAGACTGCAGTCAGGCCGCACAGGGCTGTCCCATGCCCTAGTGTAGGGGATCACCAAGGAGTGGCAGTGTTCCTGCAGTAGCTGCAGAAAGCCTGTGAGAGCTGCTGCTGCTCCCTAAAGCAAGCGTACATACTGAAAACCCAGTCAGGCTTTGGATATGTAGAGGTGCACAGTCCAATAAAGATACACTGATAGAGCTACTGCTTCCTGAAGATGAAGGCATATATAATTGGACCCAGCTCTTGGAAGTCAGTTACTCACCCGTGTTCTAGGGCTATACTGCATCTGACAAATACTAAATAAGAAGTGTATGTAACTCTTGTGGCAGACAGCCAGATAGTGAGAGGGTATCTCAAAATAATGCCAGGTAGTAAGTTCTCAAAGTACTTAAGTTTGCGCTGGAAGGGTGAGTCTTACAGGACAGTATGATTAAATGCTCTGGAAATAATTTCTCCATCTTGACACAACTGATTGTTTTTCATCCTTCAAGGTATCTGAGCGTTTGAGTCAACCTGGAGTGGCAATCGGATTAGCATGGACTCCCTTGGGTGGCAAAATCATGTTTGTGGAGGCAAGTCGGATGGACGGTGAAGGCCAGCTAACACTGACTGGCCAGCTCGGGGACGTCATGAAGGAGTCTGCCCATCTTGCCATCAGCTGGCTTCGAAGCAATGCGAAGAAATACCACCTGACTAATGGTACATGGCCCAGCCACAGTGGGGACACAGCTGGGAAGGAGGGCCCTGGGATCATGATCCAGGAAGCATCTTACACTGTGTGACAAAGGTGACCCACTCAGTAACGTCCAGTGCTTGGCTTCTGAACGCCTATGGAGACTCTAGTGACCGTGATAGAGCTTTTTGGCTTAGTGCCTGAGCTAGAAACAAGAGCAAAGGTTTGTTTGAAATCATACTTAGAGTAGAATGAATCTTTCTGTCCAGACCTCACTCTAAGTGCACTATCCATTAATATTTTTGAAGGGTTCATTTACATACACAAAACACCTATTTTTGTGTTTGATTTTATTCAGAGAAAAAAAAATAGGTTTAGTTTTTCTACATTAAATTTCCTTTTTTCCTTTTTAAAGCTTTTGGAAGTTTTGATCTTCTTGACAACACAGACATCCATCTGCACTTCCCAGCTGGAGCTGTCACAAAAGATGGACCATCTGCTGGTGTTACCATAGTAACTTGTCTCGCCTCACTTTTCAGTGGGCGGCTGGTGCGTTCAGATGTAGCCATGACTGGGGAAATTACTCTGAGAGGGCTTGTTCTTCCAGTAAGTATAGAAAACATTTATGTTCTTGTCATTTTTACTCAAATTATTTTTAAACTTTCATGAATAATAGTTTGCCTTCTTTAACACTCTGGTTTAAAATAGGCATTAACAATTTAGTACCTGTAACTAATTTTTATTTTAAACTTTGGGCCAAGTAAACGCAAACATCTCTCCCATGTTCCCTTGTCATCTAAAAAGATTTAAGGGGAAAATATTAGCATGGTTGGTAGGAAGGTCAGCAGCTTACCTGAACATCTGCAATCTCTCTCTAGTTAAAGGTGACTTGCATGTATATAAAGTTTTAAGCTCATCCACACTTCTTGAATTGAGACATCCTGGCACCTTACAGAAATCTTAGATTACTGTAATTGGCAAGACTCGGAGCAAAACTACCAGCATAAAAATGGGAACGGAATTAAAGTTGTCTGTTACATTTCAAAAGGCCTGACAGGTGGTGGTGGCACACGCCTTTAATCCCAGCACCTGGGACGCTCTGTGAGTTTGATGCCAACCTGGTCTACAGAGTGAGTTACAGGACAGCCAGGGTTGTCACATAGAGAAACCCTATCTCGAAAAACAAGCAAACCAAACAAAAACCAACATCTTAAAAAGCCTGCCCGTATCTGTGGGTCTTAGGTTCCAGTACATATCCGGATCCGTCTACACAAATGCTGTGGCTAAATACACAGGACTCAAGTATTAGGACTTCCAGTGACTAGGTGCCAGGACTTGTCTACAACAGACTGACAGATCCATGGCAAAAAAAGAGAAAAGAGCTAATGTTCTTTACTCTGCAAAATATGAATGAAAGTAGATTATAGGATTACCAGTTAGGATCATTAAAGGGGTCAGGCACACCTAAAACCCCAGCAACTCAGGAAGCCTGAAGCAGCATAGGCAACTTAGTGAGACCCAACCTCAAAGTGAAAAAGAGCCAGAGATAAGGCCCAATAGCAGAGGACTTGCTCAGCCTTAGTTCTAGCCACTACAACAATTGTACTCCAATATTTTCATTCATCCATGCAAGGACCATGAAAAGTGGTAGAATTTAAAAAAAAAAAAAAAAAAAAAAAGAAAGAAACAACTTACTAAGGCTGAAATAAAAAGGAGTCTTTTGCACTTGGGAGGCAGAGGCAGGCAGATCTCTGTGAGTTTGAAGCCAACCTGGTCTACAGAGCTAGTTCCAGGATAGGCTCCAAAACTATAGAGGATCCCTGTCTTGAAAAACCAAAAACAAATAAATAATAAATAAGTAAAATAAAAAGAAATCTTTTGGATTGAGTGTGGTTAGAGAATGACTAGGGAAATAATATACAGTATAGTCAGTCTGCCACATCCAGCATCCAGCAAATGGGAAGATGGACTACAACAAAGAGTAAAAGAAATAGCAGAGCATATCCTGGAGTAGAAAGAGTCCTCAGCCACTGAGAGCCACTGGATACACAGTGGAACAGTGTTACATACAGTGTCTTGTTCTTGCTCTCAGTCCAGTGCGAGTGTAAAAATAGACATTTCATACTGGAAGGACACAGTCAGTCTCAGAATTTTCTCTGAAGAAGGCACTCCAGAAAAGCGCAGTCTGGGCCAGGGTGACAGCTATGTAGGAAGGCCTAAAGCTAGCCAGTTAGGCTGAAGCTCGAATTTAAGGAGCAGGAGAACCTGCTTCTTTCTGTGTGATGCACAGGAGGCCCAAGTCCTCACCTGTGGGCTTTCCCAGTCTGTGTAGATAACCTCAAACATACCTTCTACTTCTAGGGCAAGTGATCCAACCTATCAATCCAGGCAGCAGCTTTCTTCTTATGCCTTAGCACTGAAATTCATGTAGCATCACTTCCATCAGAGGGAAGGGGGATCAGACTCCACCTTCTGTGAAGGAACCATTGGTTGTAGGAATAGCTTTTTGTTTGTTTTTAAATCACAAGAGGGGCCAGCCCTGGTGGCACATGCCTGTAATCCCAGCACTTGGGAGCAGGGAACAGAGGCAGACGGATCTCTGTGAGTTAAGGCCAGGGTAATCAACAGGGTAATTGTCACGAAGCAACAATTAAAAAACAACCAGAGCTAGTTTGGAGTGTTCTCATTTTTAGATGGCACAAAGGCCTTTGCTTTGTGGTAATGAAGACAATAATCTTGTAACACAACTGAACATCCTCTGTAAGATCAGTTCGTTTAACTTTAAAATCTTTATTTTATAAAAACAGAACTGTAGCAAATGATGTACATGTACACATTATATAACATTTACAGCAACATACTTATTTCTTCCATTTGTCATTTCTTCATGGTAAAAATTTCCAAAATTCTTTCTTCCAGCTAGGAATAGTATAACCAAGCTAATGTAATACTGTTACAGAATCAACCTAAATACAAGGTTGCAATCACACACACACACACACACACACACACACACACACGCATCCATAGACATCATAATTTCAGATTTTCTCATTAAAATATTTAAAATGGAAGCAACACCAACATTTTTTAGATAGACTACCATTAGCCTTTTTACTGGCATCCCAGCTCAGCTCATACCATAACCAAATGGGAGGTGGCTGAATACCCAAGCTCAGTGAGAAGCAAGTCCACTTGCAGACCATAACCCTTGATGGCTATCTTCTCTCGCCCGGCAGGTGGGTGGAATTAAAGACAAAGTGCTTGCAGCACACCGAGCAGGGCTGAAGCAGATCATAATTCCACAGAGGAATGAGAAAGACCTTGAAGAAATCCCAAGCAACGTCAGACAGGATCTAAGTTTTGTCACAGCAAGCTGCCTGGATGAAGTTCTAAATGCAGCTTTTGATGGTGGCTTCACTGTCAAAACCAGGCCTGGTCTCATTGACAGCAAACTTTAGACCCCAACATCTAAATTGGAATTTTAATTATGAGGTGCCAAGAGGTGCCAAGGCTGGTTTTAGGCACCAGTAAGAGTAAGCAAAATATCCCTAATTTGTGGACATAATCAATATAACAATGAGTCTGTTCAAGTAGCTGTTGATGTTTATTACAGAAATATTGGTTTAATAAAGAATTAAAACTAGAAGTGTGGTCTTCAGTGGGACTGGTGTCTCTGGAAAAGATACAGAACAGAGGTTCTCTGTGGTCGCAGAACAAAGAACATGCTAGAAATGTCAACCCTCTGGCCCACTATAGACCCGAATCCTGCTCAAGGATATGGAATAGAGATCCAGGAATCCCTCTGACGTGTCTGATATGTCTAATGATTGGGTGAGTCAAGTGTGGTGGTACAGGTACTCGGGAGGCAGAAGCAGGTAGGTCTCTTGACGTTCAAGGCCAGCTTGGTCTACATACCAAATTCCAAGGCAGCCAAGACTACATAGGGAGACCCTATCTCAAAATAATAACAGTTGGCACATACTCTTAACTCTGGAGACCCATGTAGACTTTATTGGATCCTGGAACCCAGTTACTTAGAAGGGAAACTAGCAAAGACAAAACTCTAGGCAACTATTTAAAAGTCTAGGATGAGACCCACATAGGACTATACAGGTCCTAGGCTGAGGGAAGCAGCAATGAGAACAGTGGCACATGTTGGCAGTCACTGCAGGAACACAATGGCTTTGGGTGCCTGTAATCTTGAAAAACTACAGGCCCAAGGGAGCAACTGTGTGTTTCGGGATGACCCCTAAACTTGGAATCCTTGTTTATGCCAAATCCCAAGTGTGTCAACTTGGAATGCCTGTTTGCTCCTGTGACTCAGTCTGAGGTACCAGGGTGAAGGCCCCTTACATTTACTAGGTTTCTGAACCCTGTTTCATACATGCTCGTGTGTGAAATAACAGTATTATTGCTGATTCAACAAGAATGCAATGTAAACAACACAATTTTAATTCTAGAGTCAGAATCTTACAAGAAATGAGAAGAGCTAATATAGTTTTGATACTTCCTGAATGAGAATGGGGGGTCTACAAGCTACCTAAACCCTGCTCAGGCTTACTAAAAATCTCTGGAGGAAATACCGAATGAGGACTAGCTGGGGGCACTCACAACCCTTGATGAGCTCCTGACCTCTGTAATCCTGCACAAGGAGCAAAGGAACAATCCACTGGCCTTGTCCATCCAGGGAGCCTTCCCACCAAGCCCTGCTTCATATACCTGCCTGAGGTGGTAACACAACACCTTTTAAAGCTCAGGGTTCTCTGGGGCCTAGAAATCAGCACTGACCTACACAGGAAATTACATAGGGCAGCTTCTGTGCTGTCTGAAGTGTGTGTGCATTTTCTAAAACAGATTTATGTCCATCTTTGTGAGTGAGCATGGGCACCTGCAGAGGCCAGAAGAGGGTGTCGGATCCCTGGAGCAGGAGTTGCATGTGCTCATAAGCTGCCTGGTGTGGGTGCTGGGAACTAATTTGGGTATTTAGCAAGAACAGCAAGCACTCTCAACTGAGGAGCGGTTTCTCCAGCCCATCTTTCCTTTTTAAAGGAGCCATCTGGAATTGAATGGTATGGTTTTTGTTTTTCTAACACTGTTTTTGGTTTGCTGTGCAGGAGGTTTTGATCAGAGAAACTGCATAAAATCCACCACTGTAACCACTTACAAATATTTAATTCAGGGACATCTGTGACATTCAGTGTTCCCACTGTCCACGATTTTTTCAGCACAAACAACTCATTCCCCCAATTGCAGACCTGGTAACCACTCTTCCCCTCTTCCTTATTCTAAGTGGAAGTTTTGTTCTTTTCTTGTCTCACCAACTTGTCAAGTTTATATATCATGTATCAAACTTCTTTTTCTGGCTGAACAAGCCGCTGTGTACATATGACATACTGCGTATCCACTCCCCTACTGTTCTGTGACTGTGGACTGTCAACAGGAATGTACAGATCCCTTGCTTTTCTATTATTTTGGGATGTGTGCCCAGAAGTAGAACTTCTGTGGTGGTGCTTTGATCAGAATGCCCTCCCAAAATACATGTGTTCCATTTCTCATAGGAAAGGGCTCAGAAAACGAGCTAGTTACTTTATACAGGTGCACTTCTCCACCAGGTTAGCACTGAGGCGACATCTGGGAAGTAGGGGCACCTGGCTCCCATCCTTCAGCTCACCAACCCTGACCTCCAGCTTCTGCCTCCAGACCTGACCTGTCCTTTACTAGCCACAAACAACTTTCTGACCATGCATGCATGTGTTCATGTGTGTACATGGTGTTGGGGACCACAGTGGGACTTGCACATACTGGGTAAGTACCCAAACACTGAGCTAGAGCACACCTCAACCTCAGCCCCATCTCCTCTCTACTGTGGCCGCACCATTTGGGACATGCATAGCTTTTAGGTATCAAAGGCAAACAAAGCTGTAATGCCATGGTTATCAACTTTCTAAGTATAATTTCAATTGTTCTGTCCATGTATCATCCCTGTGAACTCTTCTATGTACTACAAATAAGACTCTGTAATCCTGAGTCACATAATAAGCTATATGCAAATTTAGGGCCAAATGCCTTCTGTTTTAGTTGTTCATAAAATATTTAATACCAATAGGTAAATCAGTGACTATAAGTAAAATACTAGATTATGAATGATATAAAAGATACAAGAATCTTTTTTTAAAAAAAAATACCAGGTTGGCCAGAGAAAGTGCACGCCTTTAATCCCAGCATTCGGGAGGCAGAGACAGGTCTACAAAGTTCAAAGCTACAGAGAAACTCTGTCTCAAGAAACAAAACAAAAACCACCAGGTCAGTGTATGTGCTGAAAACATGATTCTTTCCTCTACTCTTATAGCAATTATAAATATAGAGGTATTACTCGGTAGAATTCTTGCTTAGCACTGGAGAGGCCACGGCTTCAACTCTGAAACACAAACAACTTGTGGCCATACCACATCCCCTCTTCATAATAGAGGGGCTACAGCTGGGTCTCATGTGCAGCACCAATTCCAACTCTGAGACAAGCACTGCTTGAGCTCAGGACAGATTCCCATCTGGGCACAGTGGGTTCCAATACTAGGTGAAGGGACAGTCACTTCTCATTGCTGTGACAGGATACCTGAGGAAAAGACTTCTTTGGGCTCATGGTTTCAGGTTTCCGTCCACAGATGCCCCATCGCTGTGGGCTTGTGATGAAGCAGAACACGGTGGTGGGAAGGGAAGGTGTGCCAGAGTAAAGTTGTTCACCTCATGGCAGCTGGAAGCAGAAGAGCCAGAGAGGAAGATCCAAAGACAAGACACCCTTCCAAAATACATTCCCCAGTGACATATCCCTCCCCCAACACTCTATTCAGCCATCAACATCCACTGATGAAGTTACCAGTGATCCACTTTTCAACACCATCAACCAGGGTCAAGCCTTTTACACCAGCCATTTTAGAAGATGTACCAGGTCAAGCAAGACACATCTCCCCCACCAAACCTAACTCAGGCAGTCACCACCGAAGGCAGAAGCACTTAGTGGCTCTCCTAGGAAACTTACACAAAGGAGAAACTATACTATAAAAATATTAAAAAGTATTATTTTTGACAATCTGGGATTAGTCACTAGTTTTGCTTAATGAAATAAATGTGCGTCGCATTTCTCAGAGCAAAGGAGAAACTGTACTGTGTATGACAAAAGAAGTAGGCTGTCAGTCTCCAATTTGATGGTTAAGGTCCAACAGTAATGCTCTTCTCCCTGATGTATTAACATGTAGTGTGCCTTACAATGATTATTCTTTACTAAAAACAAAACAAAAAATGAGCTGCACACGGTTTTAATCTCCGCCAATGCCGAGAACCCAAGGTCTTACTGATCAAACTCCAAGCCAGCCAGTGCTGTAGAGCTGCACCACAAGACCTGGCTCCATAAACAAGCTATCAAAAGGATTTTAAATCTAGGAAAAAGTTGTCTTCGATAAAAATTCCCTTGAGATATACTATAGTGCTTGGTATAAAAGTTAAATTCTGTTTGGGTGATGCCATCTTTAAAAATGTTTATTTTGACAAACGATATAAATAGCTTAACTGGACAAGTCGGACAGAACTCTTGTGTTTTGCACACTCCCCATGGAACACTGCTCAGTCCACAAGCTTCCACAATATCCACACCTTTTCTTTTGAGACAGGGTCTTGCTGTACAGGCCAGGCATGCTGCTTACCTGCCTATGCACTGGTATGTTATGATCCTCCCCTCCTAAGTGCTGGTTTGGGATTACTTTTTTTTTTTTTTTAAGATAATGCACACAAATGGAGGCAGAGACAGGTGGACCTCTGTGAGTTCAAGGCCAGCCTGGTCTACAGAGTGAATTCCAGGACAGACTCCAAAGCTACAGAGAAACCCTGTCTCAATACCCTCCCCCACAGTTCCTGAAAGACACCAAAAGGATCAAAGCAATCAACAGAAATTATCTACTCTAAACAATGAAAAGACAAGAGTTCATTTTTGTGTGCCAAATCTCAAGGGAACAAAGAAATGTGGCTTCATTTCTCATCTGTGGGAATCAAGAATATGAAGAATTAATAGCTAATAAACGTTAATGTGTCAACCTTACCTGCTGCTAAATATACATAAAATATGCCTTCGCTTGCTAAAATTAGCAAAAACAGGAGATAACAAAATCCTTTACAATTCTGGGTCCCATTGAAGCCTCCCCAGAGAGCATCAATAAAAGTATCACGACTTTTCAAATATTAATGCCCAAAACATACTAAGAACATACAGACTAATATGTAAGTAGCAAAATAAAAAAATCTTGATATTAAACAGCAAAATTATTAGCTGAGATATAGTGAGTGGTCAAATTACTAAAAATGTTTTTACTAGGGATTCAGCCACTGAATGCTTGCTTGTAGTAGTTTTGCTGAGGCACTAGGTTTAAGCCCAATAACAACAACAGAAAAAGTCCAAGTTTTGTTTGGTTGATTATTTTCTATTTTTGACTCAATATGTTGAGCAGGTTGACCTCAAAACCTTGCGTTCTGCCTTGGCCTCCAAGCCCTGAGATTACAAGCATGAACCATGGCCAGCCTTCCCAACACTATCAAAATGGTAAAGTCTAGGGTGATCTTGTTACGTGGTGAAGGTTACAGAAATAACCAATCAATATCTCAAAATATATGTGTACAAGAACATGCTCATGCATTTAACTAGTAAATGTCAGTCAGCTCTGATTTCATGGGGGGAGAGTATGGATTTCTAATGGCCACGCCTTTTGAGATGTTAAAGTCTGGGCACAATACAGTGAAACTGCAAAATGACATTCCCTCAAACATACACTCGGTTGCTTTTCAGCCACTGAAATGCTTTGTGGCATTCAACTGGGGCGGGAGTGGCCTGAGGTAAGGCGTAGAATTCGGGCCACCCAGGGTAGCGAGACCTTGTCTCAACACACACAAACTGCTTTTCTAAATTTTCATGCAAATAAAAACATGGTTGTAATCTGTGGCTAAATTATTCCCTTTCAGCCCAAATATAGCTACATAAGCACATGACAATCAACTCAATAGAAGGCTTACTTGTACTGAAAATGGCTAACAGAACCAAGCTCCATAATCCAGAATTGGAAATAGGATAAAAGGAAAATGCAAGTTAATTCTCAATGACTTTCTAAGCTTGGGGTACCACTAGGAAAATACAAAATTATCAATGACAGATTTCTGCTGTGTGCCTGAGTGTAACTAGGAACACAACACTAAAGGTAAAATCCAGTGTTCCACACTGGCTGGATACTTAGGTGGTAGGAAGCACTGTTTCAGGGTAAAGTACTAGTGTCTCATTTAACCCTTCACATACTCACCATAATTTAACTCCATTTAACACATTAGGAAACTGGGCCCAAGGTCAGACAGCTGGTTAAATTGGATAGAGGTAAACTATAGGAACATGGTGGAGTCAAACTCCACCGCTGGAACTACGATGATAAACTCAGTTTTCATAAAGGAAAAGAGTGATTAATCAGGCATACTCTAAATGTCCTTATGGGAATCAAATGGGAGAACCTAGTCCTTTCTGTGCTTCAGAATAAAACATACTTCAAAACAGTGGCATATAATCCCCTAATCCTCTGCTCTAAACACGGGAAACACCTCTGGACTTTCTTAAAGAGCTCTTTTAGAGCCAGGGGTGAGGGACATAGCCCAGTGGGAGAGAGCTTGCTTGGCAAGTGCTGGCCCTGTAGTCAGTCCTCAGCTCCAGGAAAAAAAAAAAAAAAAAAAAAAAAAACCAACCTAGAGCTAAAGTAAACACATTAAGATTTTTTTTAATTTGCCAGATAATCTTTTAATGAGAATTATAAAAGACCAAAAACATTTTTTGCAAACTGCCTTTTTTAAAAACAAATGATTTCCTTTAGTTACAAATACTGTGTATGATGATGCACTCTTTTGCAAAACCAATAAATACAAGAACCAATTTAAACATGTGATTTGCCCAACACATTTGAAGAGAGGAAAGGCCTGATTTTTAAAGGTATTTATATAACTCAGTTTACTCCCTAACCTGACCTTCCCAAGAGTTAGCCTGATGGTGGGACTCACACAGACAAGACCATCTCATACCTGCTGCAGCTTGCACAGCGCTCTCATGTTACCTTTCCTTTCTGGAATTCCTATTTCCACAAAAGGGCTGAATTAAAAATAGTTCTAATAAACTGATTGAAGGAAAAGAAAGTATGTACTGAACACAAACTTTTGACATAAGCAATTATGAATATCAAAAAGACACTAACTTAAAGGTACAAAAGTGAGAAAAACCTGAATTACAGAAAAGAAAGTCAAATTTATTTAATGAAAAACTAGAATAAAAATTAGCAAATACACACACAAAAAAAGAAAACAAAACAAAACAAAAACCACAGCAGCACTATGTATTGACTCACAAGGGGAAAGCAGTGGTCCATGACCACGCAGATGGCTTGTCAGTTAAAGGAAAACCAACCACACTCGTGCACCCATGTGTGCACAGACACACATCCCCAAAAAATTGTTGTCAACAATACAATCAATCTACAACAAACACGAAGTTCAGAAATATTTTACAATGCTTCCTTTCTTTTTTCTTAATACAAAAGATGCCCATCTTGGGTATATATATATTTTTTCAGTGGTTTACTGTTGAATTATTTTTAAATATATTAGTGTTACTACATGCAACTGTTTCCTGTATTAACAGCCTTTCTTTTTATTTACCTTCATGTGTCTAGCTTCTACCTACCAGTAGAGTTTTAGGTTGGCAAGCAGATGGGTGCCTTATTCTCTGTGAAGTCAAATGCAAATTTTAAACACTGGCCAGAAATATTTGATTGCCGTTTCAACACATGGAAATAGTTACATTGATGCCTAAATTGCCATTTTCTGCAAAAAGCTGTGCAATGCTGGTGTCAAACACTAGGCAGTCACTATTCATAATGGCTGTTGCAATTCCCTCATGAATAGACCGAGGAGTCGCTTCCCAAGTCAATCGCCGCCTATGACCATTTAGCTCAAGTCGATAAGCAAAATTTTCAGCTTGCTTGCGTGTTCCTATCAGCTGTACAATTGCAAAGAACTGCTGGTGACCATCGTATTTTTCCTGTTTCTCCAAGACTAACATGAAGTGAAAGCCAAAACAAGACTGCATCATCACCCAGTCAACAGCACCAGGAAGGTTAATGTCTGTAGCAAGGAAAACTATATCTTCTCCTTGCAGGGTTGTAATGGACTTGTGCTGATGCATCAGGTGGGGCATGACAGCATCCAAGGAGCCTTGCCACTTACAGGAAGCACCAGGGCAGGGGCAGGAGTAAGGCCTGAACTCACAGAGCTCCTCATGCTCTGCCTTTTCTGTGTGCGGGAGAGTTATTTCACATCCAGAAGAGGCGTATTTACAAGGGAAAAGTACTGAATTGGCCACTTTCTCCATAGCCAAGTTGCGGATGGATCCCAGTGGACCCCGGCAGGTCGGACAACATGTGAGTTTAGGACGACAGTTGCTACAAACAAGATGGCCACTCTGACACTGAAGAATGGGTGGCAACACATAGTCAAAGCAGACAGGACACTCAAAAAGACTCGCCAAGTCATTGTTGGATGCAGTTGTGCCAGTCAGGGCAGGTACCCTCTGGGATGGTGGACACTTTGAGGTGCCAGTGGGTAATGCTGTAGCAGTCTGGCGGCTCATTTCTGAAATGAAAAACAAGAAAATAAAAGGAGGCAGGAGAAAAAGTTATAACACATTCATAAATAATGAATACATATCATACTTATAAAACATCCCACAAAATTTATGAGCAAAAGACTAAAGTTAAATAAATATGGTTTTAAAACGATATACAAATAAAATAAAATTAATGTGATGAAGATGAATTTTAATAAAGTTATATAAGTAAACCAAATATTTCCGAAATGTTCTATAGCGTGTTTAAAATACCTTCTGTCTTAAAAGAAAGTACTGAAAATCTTTGGGTTGGCTACATAAAATAAGAAACACAGCCAGGGGCAGTGGTGGCGCACGCCTTTAATCCCAGCTCTTGGGAGGCCGAGGCAGGCGGATCTCTGAGTTCCAGGCCAGCTTGGTCTACAGAGTAAGTTCCAGGACAGCCAGGGCTACACAGGGAAAGCCTGCTTCCAAAAGAAGAAGAAAAAAAGGTAAATATAGTAAGACAGCATGGTATATGCCTTTAAATCCAGCATTCAGGAGGTAGAGGAGGTAGAAGCAGGTGGATTTCTGAGTTTGAGGCCAGCCTGTTCTATAGTGGAAGTTCTAAGAGAGCTAGAGGCTACACAGAGAAATACCATTTTGAATAAAAAACAAAAACAAAGGACATAAATACAAGGCTGGAGAGATGGCCCAACAGTTAAGAACACTGGCTGCTCTTCCAGAGGACCAGGGTTCAAATCCTAATACCCAAATGGAGGTTCAAGAGAGGCCTCTAGGGCCCTGCATACATATGGTATACAGACATACATGCAGGCAAAACACCCATACACATAAAATGAAAATAAATCTTTTGTAGAAGAAGCCTTAAATACAATATTAGGACCTACCTGGGCTGGCCTTTTTCTCCTCAGAGTCTCCACCTCTGTCTATTTCTTCAAGACTGAATTAAGCATCACAGCTTCAGAATCTACAGCTTGAGTCCTATATAGTTCATATGCCAAAGACAACAAGAAAGAGACCAACCCTCCCCTGCAGTGAGCAACATCTTCTGGAGAGGTATGTTCAGTAAAGGAAGCACTGTCATCCCACTATCTACCTGCAGCTATCTACTAGGTCTTCTTTCCAGCTAGGCATCATTTGTCTCCTGTCAATCAGTACCCACCACCAGGCTGGAGAAACAGGGAGAAGTGGAGAGCCATCCTTCAGTAAGCTGTTGCTCTGGCATTTATGAAAGTCCTTATTCTACTTCCACAGAACAAATCTCACAGAATGTACAAAGGTGAGGGAAACTCAGGAAAAGTAAGAGGAAATGAGGGTAAACACACCACAGAAACAAACACTGGATGAGGATGAAGGGCAAGCAAAGAACTCCCTGCATCCATCGGTTCCTTCGGATGGCTGCAGCACACACCAACTATACACAGACTTCAGGGTCATCTGGAGAAAGGACCAGCAAGCGAGAGTCAAGCAGAATAAGCCCTTTTCCCCAGGACTGTGCTGCTGAGGGATATGGCAGGTTGTAATTTATCTCAGCTGACAAAAGATCAATGTCCTAACAGTGCACTCCCTGAGACTACACTAAATACTTAATATAGTAATTCCTCCAGTTACAATCATTCTGTTGCAAAGACCTTTAAGTTTCCAAATAACTGTAGTTACAAATGTAACCAAGCCAATACAAATGAATTATAGATTGAAGTAGACAGTAGACATTGTAAATAAAAGGCTAAGAGCAGCACTGGAGGGTTATTTTTTTTTCCTTTTGTTACTAAAATCGTACTCTCAAGTTCAAAGGGCAAAAGAAAGTACTAACAAATGTTTAGCTTACCCATGGCCCTTGGGTTTCATCTCCAACACACACGCGCACAGTATAACAAAACTCTATCACAACATCTCAGGCTCATGGAATGGAAGGATATAACATGAATCAACTCTCATCATCTGAAGCCCTGTGATCCAGGTGTCACAATAAAAAGAACATTCTGTAATCTACTTTCTATCTGAGCAAATTCTTTAATGCAGATGATTTATCCATTTTAGATGACTTATAAAACAATGGGCTTGGCATTACCAAAGCCTATTAGTTTCCCATCTACTCCACCATGTTAAGTGTGCTCACTTAAAAGAACACAGTAATTGGAAAGTGATTCCTTGAAACAAAACCGCTCCCATCACATAAAAGAGCTCAGTTTATTTAAATGCAATACAGTCAAGTTCAGAAGAAAACACTAGCCCAATGCTTTGACCTGGCAAAATACCTCTAACATTTATCAGCATAAGTTCAGATTCATGTTACAACATATTTTTATTACCTTCCAAACACTGGAGAAAGCACACTGATTTCTACTCAGCATGATAAACAAAGATTCCGACACATAAAACTGCCACACCATTCCCGAGTTAGAAGGGTGGAATGCGGCTCCATCTTGAGCTACAAAGATTCTCGACTATGCAGCAGCCCCAAGGTAGAAACCAAGAACAAGTCTGCAGAAGTCGTGACGCGCCTGAAGCTAGATTTAAACCAGAGTCGCTGCAGTTCTACTGAACCCTTACTGCGGACCTCACAGAGCCAAACACAGCCATGTGGCCTAAACCAGAATCTATGGATTCGTGCAGCCCAGTTTCTGTCTTGGAAACAGATGCGTTTATGTCAGTACCTTTCCTCTTTCTGGTCCTGGTCCTAACCGTTGGCAAGCATGTGAACAGGACTCCCTTCCAGGAATGCAGAAAGGGTGCCGGCGGCTTCCAGGACATGAGAAGCCAGGCGTCAGGTTCCAGCAACCCACAAGGCCAGCCCTTGGCTCCTAAATTTAGACTGGTCACTTCCATTCAGATTTAAAGTAGCTCAATGGGTGGCCTGTCCCCAGGAGGGACAACACCTCCCTTGAACTCTAGCAGAAGTCCCCCTGAGGTTCTGGCATCCTACTGCTTAGGCTCCAACACCTGGCAGGCCCCTGGGCAGGGCCTAGAGAAGGGACGGACTTTGTCCCAAGCCCCGCCCCACAGACCACCTGAGCAGCTTTGGCAGGCTCCACCTGCAACATGAAGCCTGTGCACTTGGCAGCACTTGAGTCCGGTAGAACATGTTTGTGGAGGTCAGGATCTCAGTGCTTTCTTAAGGCTCCAGAGTATGAACATACAGGGATGAAGGGAAGTGCACAGCCAGGCAAGCACTCCTAACATCAACTTTGTCCTGTGAATTCTCAAGTTCGCATGCAGTGAATAACTCACACAATACTTCCAGGCCTCAACTACTATTTTCCTCAATTCTAACTCAGCCACTTGTGTGCCAGCCTATTTCAAATGCAGTACAGTGAGAATCGTTAACCCCTTCAGGACACATAAAACGCTACTTCTACTTCCAAACTGAGATTATACTCTCATCCCACTCTGGAAAAGTTTTCTTAACTGGCCTCATTAAACTAGAGTAGCTTGCCTTGTTTTTAAACAAGCATTACCCTTGGCCCATAAAGTCCTATGCACTTCATGCCTGGATGGTGTCAGCTGAAGCTTCAAAGGTTTATGCTGGTATTACATCATGCTTAGGACAACCTTCAAACATAACCAAAATCTGGCAATGAGCATCCCAGTACAATGACTTCTACCCACTTTCACCAACGTCGACTCCACTTGCCCATCTTCATTATGTTCAGTAACTTTCACCTAACTTCAATATTAGACTATAAGAAACATCTTTAAGAACAGAAATACAACGTACACTTTCCAAATTGTACATCAAGCCCATTTTGGTAGAAAGCTTAAGTAGCTATTATCTAAATGAGGAAAAAAAAATTATTGCCTTTAATTTTGCCTTAATATTTTCAGGGCACTTAGCCACTGTTAGGTTTTTGTTGTTGTTTTGGGGTTGTTTGACACACTCATTAATCCTAGACTACCACTGAACTCTTAAGAGCCTGAAAATGATCTTGAACTTGTGATCATCTAACTCCCACCACCTTTCAGTGATGACTCGGGACTGCTCACCACCATACCTAGTTATGTAGCACCATGCCTTTGGAAACACCAAGCAAGCACTCCAAAACCCGAGCTATGTCTCCAGCCATATACATTTGTTAGTGTGTATCAGTGTTTTGCCTGAACGTGTATATATACACCACCAGCAGAGGCAAGTAGAGGCCATAGGATCCCTTGGAATTAGCATTTGGACAATTGTAAGCCACCATGTGGGTGCTGGAAAACAATTCACTACAACCACAGCAAGTGCTCCTATCTGTTGAGCCTTCTCTTCAAGCCCTGCATTCTTTACTTACAGGGGGAAAAAAGGTAGAATGCAAAGACTCACCCTTTCTTAATTTCCCTAAAATTCTTCTTAGAAATTACATTTACTATAAAGCAATAATGATGAAGTAGATCAGTGGTGTGAGATCTCAAACCCAGGACAAATGACTGAGGTGTCTATTTAATATATCAAAGTAGACCTGGTTGCCAGGTTCTCCCTGCATCCCTCACTCCCTATCTGTTACAGGGTATGGCTGAGATGCCCCGGTTCCCTTAAATTTCTCCAGCCCAGGAGCTGAGCTGCACTTCCCTATACAATCCAGCCATTCTGCTTACTCTGCCCCCCCCCCCCATCTACCCTTTACTTTCCTGGCTCTCCCCTTCTCATGTGGCCAGGCTCAGGGTCATGTTCACTCTGGACTTCCAGCTGTCCCTGCCTCTGGCTATGCTCTCCCTTTTATCTACAATAAATCTTCTCTGTCACACCTGGAAGCAGTCATGTCCTTCCTTTCTTATTTCTTTTCATCCATCTGGCACCAAAAGCTGGGACTGACATAACTGATCCCTTCCAAGGAACTCTGCTGCTCTGACTCTCCTAAGGTTTGTACAGATCATTTGTTTCTGCCCCCTCCTGTCATCCATCAAACTGGACCCCAAATTTTAGGGTCTGCCTTCTCACTACTTCTCCTCCCACCCCCACATCCCTCTCCTTGTCTATGCCATAACTCTATCCCCAACTCCTAGAGCCTTCTACATCCTCCCAAGGTACCCACTGGGTGCTCCCTTCATCTCTCAGCTCTGGCCTGCAACACCCATCTGGGTCTCCCTCCCTCCCCTGCCCTCTCCTCTCTACAGGATCAGTGTCACCGCAGACTGCCTGCTTCTCCACTGTCACCACAAAAGCCACACCTGTGTGCCAGGAAGCTCCCTTGCCCTACTTGGGTCCTAGTCACGTGAGAAGAGCCACCTTTCCTCTGCATGATTTGGAACACTGGACAAGTTTTCCATTCCCCTTGAGAATGCCCTGGCTGGAAATTCTTGACACAAAGACTCTTTATCCACCTCAGCTCAGCTCGCTTTCTCTCACCTCCCCCAGGAACTGCTGACCTGCTTGCAGTCCACCCCTCCCTCCCGCAGCTTCTCTAAGCATGAGCACATTTGGGTCACCACAAACACTTTCTCAGCTCCTCTAGAAGCTTACAGAAATTCCTGTAAGGGGAGTTTCTTTTTTTCAATACACACACACACACACACACACACTCTCACACACACACACACACAGGCTTGGACTATAAACAGCTTGGCCTCAGTATAGATCAATGGCCAAAAATTGGCACACTTGATTTCCAAACTCTCACAAATCTTAACTGCCACAGCACAAACAACTGACCCCAAATCTCTTCCATCTACACTAGCTCTGCTCTACACTTCTGCTTCCCACTCTTAAAAAACTTTTATCTCTACAATTTCTCTTTGCTCTGCTCTCAAAACATCTCTTAAAACTATGCTGTAAATTCAATTCTCAGGAGTTGTAAGTTCACTGGGTATAGTTGAAAATTATCTATAAATCTGTAACAAAACTTGGCTTTAAACAAAGGCTTATAATTAAAAATTTATACAGAGGCAATTTTAATTTGCTATAAGTTACTATATATGGGATTCAACCCCTGTTTATAATATACTGTATATGTAACTTGAATTCAACTTTTTTGTTTGTTTTTTTCAAGACAAAGTGTCTCTGTGTATCCTTGGCTGTCCTCAAACTCAGAGATTCACCTGCCTCTGCGTCCAGAGTATTGGGATTAAAGGGCACCATCACTGCCCAACTGGATTCAACTCGTTTAAAAAAAAGAAAGAAAGAAAGAAAGAAAGAAAGAAAGAAAGAAAGAAAGAAAAAAATCTTTAGCAGTTAAGAGCACTGCTCTTCCAGAAGTCCTAAATTCAATTCCCAGAAACTACATAGTGGCTTACAACCATCTATAATGAGAAATAAATAAAGCTTTATTATGTATACAGTATTCTGCAAGCATACATGGAAACAGAACATTGTATACATAATAAATCTTTCAAAAAATAGCTTTTAATAACAGCTATGTGGCTGGCAGCCATCTTTACTGAGGTTAAAAGGTACATGCTATGGAACTTAACTGCCATTTTAAGATGACCACATAACATAAACCAACTAAGGTAACATCTATATAACTTTTTAGTCCTATTGAGCCCTCTGCTTCCTCTTTTAGACTAATGAAACAACAACAGGCCTAAAATATTTTGGGTTGGTATGAATTATGATGATAAAACTTTAAGGTTATAAAGGTCTACTCAGATTAACAAAAGCTGATTTAGAGATTTACACCTAACTGCTTTGCTAACAGTTCAACCCCAGGCTTCTAGAAAATTCAGATAAGTAACAATATATGTTTGCTAAATAAGGTGTATTTGTTTGATAAGGTTTATAAATTCCTAAGGGCTACTCAGGGTCACAGTAATATCTGTCTAGCTTCTTTGTCTATGCTCACTTTGTTACACTTTAACTATCTTGATAAACTAAGGCATACAAAAAAAGCTGATCTTCTATAATGGCACACCATAAAAAAACTGATCTTCTATAACGGCACACTATAAAAGGATCAGAAAATTTCCCAGTCTCCCTATGGACTGTATTTAGGGCTTAAAGCTTTATTTTGATGATGCCAGGAATACTTTTGGGCTGACTTCTCCACTCTGCCTGGTCAAAGTAAGTTCATCCTCAAGTTCTTCTCCACAGGAACATCTCTCAGACTTGGGTCTGGCCAAGGCTGCTCTCTGTGGCAGCTAAAAATTAAATGCTGTCCTGTATGATAGACACTGACTACCCCAAACAAAGGCATCTAGACCACAGGAGCCACGGCAACCATCTAGGTAGTGGTTTCAGGGACTCAACTTGAATCCACCTCCTGCAGGCCAAACAGACTCAAGTACTCCTAAATTTCCCCCACCTGCTATTCCTGAGTGGGCTCTCTCTCTTCCCCTTGATCTTGGGAATCCAGTCCTCTAACTACCAGGACCATAGGTCTATAAATTTCAAATGTATACCCTAGATAAAAAAATTCTCCGCTGTGGGCTGAAGAGATTCCTCAGCGGTTAAGAACACTGGCTGTTCTTCCAGAGGATACACATTCAATTCCCAGCACCAACATGGCAGCTTACAACTCTCTGTAACTCCAGATACAGAAGATCTGACACCCTCACACAGACAGACATACATAAAGGCAAAACACCAATCAATACTCATAAAATAAAACTGAATTATTTTTTAAAAATTTCCCCTAAACTCTTTAACTCTACCTTCTGTCCCTAATCTGTATCTGTTTCAGCAGATTTCCAATCAACTAAATACTGCAAACTACTCCAAACTCACCAGTCCCATGTGTTTCATTCTGATAGAATTTCCAGCCAGCCTGAGCCTCTGCATCCTAGACAGCTCCAAAGCAGCTAGCCCCTAGGTGGTCCAGCCTCACAGACTGTTCCAAAGTGCCTAAGCATATCTTAACCCCGGATAATCCCATTGAGCCTGGATAGTCAGTGAACCACCCTGCTCTTCTAGGCGTTGGCCACCATTCCAGCTCTCCTGGGTCCCCAACAATCCAACAAGGACTCTCACCGCCGGCAGGAAGTAGTCACTGATTATCAACAAAAAGACTGGGACGGGGGTCTCAAACTGTAGACAAAAGGCTGAGGTGCCTATTTAACATATCAAAGTCCACCTGACAGCCAGGTTCTCCCTGATCCCTCATTCCCTACCAGTTACAGAGTATACTCCACCCTAAATTTCTCCAGCCCAGGAGCTGCACTTTCCTATAGAATCCAGCCATTTTGGTGTCCCCAACCCTTCTACCCTTTACCCTCCTGGATCTCCTCTCTCCCCTATGCCTTCCCACACAGCCAGGCTCAGGGTCACATTCACTCTGAACTCTCCCAGATGTTCCTGCCTCTGGCTATGCTCCCCTTTATCTACAATAAACCTTCTCCACCGTGCTTAGCAGCAGTCATGTCCGTCCTTTTTAATTTTTTTTCATTCAAGTGGTCGATCTCATAGCTAACTACCAAATGCAAATCCTTAAATTCAAATTCTAAGTGGCAAAAATGCCAATAAAATTATAACTATCCAATTATAAATTTACACTTTATATTAGGGATTTTAATTAAAACATTTAAACATGCTAGTGATAGCTCACTTCTACACTTTTACATGTATGAAGACCTAGTTCAATCCCTCACATATATAAAAAGTGTGGGGGAGTTATTCTAGCACGGAAAATGAAGACAGGAGGATTCCTGGAGCTCCAGAGCCAGTCAGTCTAGCAAATATGGTGGGTTCGTGGCCAATGAGACTCATTCTCAAAGGAGGTGTTTCTGAACAGGGCTGTGCTTGGGTCTCTGTGTGCATGTCAAGAAAAGTACCTGACAGAAAGCTGCTATGGAAAAGGAACTCAAATCTGTAACTCATCTCCTTCTTCCAAGATTCCCTACTGAGGTTTCCACTTCAGAAAAATACCTAATCAGAACCTCACAAGCACTATGTAAAAGAGATTCTGCAAGGGCTGAAGAGATGGCTCAGTGGTTAAGAGCACTGACTGCTCTTCTAGAGGACCCGAGTTCAATTCCCAGCACCCATACCATATGTCAGCTTACAACTGTCTGTAACTCCAGGATCCAGCAACCTCACAGATATATATACAGGCTAAAACACCAATAAAATAATTTTTTTAAAAAAGAGATCCTGCAGCCGGGCGATGGTGGCGCACGCCTTTAATCCCAGCACTCGGGAGGCAGAGGCAGGCGGATCTCTGTGAGTTCGAGACCAGCCTGGTCTACAGAGCTAGTTCCAGGACAGGCTCCAAAAAGAGAGATCCTGCAATATGATTGATATGATTAATAAAATACAAAATAAGAATGAATTATGTAAGAAATGAAACATAGCAGCATCAGAAAAGTGTTCATTAAAGGAAGAGTCCATCCCTAGACCACAATAGTTCTCAAATTCAATGTGCTACCTACCACCTAGGGAATCTTGTTAAAAAACAAAAAACACAGACTTTAATTTGGGAGGTCTGAAGCTAGACTATGTCTTTGGGGCTTCATTTGGTTTTGTATGATGTACTGCTGAGGATCTAGCCCAAGCATAACCAGCCTGCATGGCAGGTCTAAAGACAAGTTTGTGCCTCTCTCCTCTTACTGAACCTGATCCCAAAAACTGAGAATTCCTCAAGAACTGTTTGAGTCACTGGGCTACAACAAGAAGAGAATCTTGTCTCCAGCAGAAAGATTTACACTTGTCAAATGACCTTGTAGGAAAGACAGAAAATAGATGCAATGAAGGGCAATACATGGCCTCGCTGCCTTACATAGGTATATCTGTCCTCTTCCCTTTAAACTCTAGTTGGGGGCAGGCATCACCTATTTTTATCCCTCTTCCCAATGTGGTTACAACATTGACCAAATCCCCCTTTCTGCTTCTCATCATTAATTTGGTTTGAGACCTAGCACCCACAGTATCTGCTATGACCCCGACTCCAGTAACATGGGACCCTCAACATTCCAGGAAGTGCTCTACCAGTAGGCCTTCTGTAGTTTGCACAAACTCCTAAGTATAGCCAGCCAGTTCTGCTGTTCACATGGAAGTTGTAACATGGAGACCATAACAAAGTATAAAAACTGAAAAAGGACCAAGCAGAGATGGTGCACACCTTAATCCCAGCACTCAGGAGTGATGGAGGAAGGTCATTGGTTAAATAAAGAAACTGCCTTGGCCCTGA